AAAGGACTTGTGGGTACGGCCAACAGGTGGCGTAGTGGTTAAGGTGTTGGACTCCCAGATGACTTACCATAGTTCAAGTGCCAGGTACATATGCGTGCATGCCCAAAATCCCAGGGGGAGAGTGGAGGAGAAGGGATTGTGGCATGACCGTGCCCCCTGGAGTGTGATTGTTTTACTTTCCCTCTCACTGTCTGTTCTTGTCTGTCAGACGCACGTGCCCTATGGGGGCACCTGTGGGTGCCTAGAAGTACCTTTGGCTTATGATTCAGAGAATGTTGCTGGAAAAAATAAGCTCAGGAGGACTCAGCTGCTTTCCCCTCCGCTGTGTCAGCCCGCTCTGAGCATCAGCCCAGCCAGTGCCTTGGCCGTGTCACGTCCAAGCATTACAGACCTTCCCGGGGTATGTACACTCGCTGGAGAGAGAAACAGCGAGGGGTAGTGAGAAACCATCCCCAGGAGGGATGGCCATAACCCTCTCCTGTCTCCTCCATTCTCCTTCTGGGACTTTGGACATACCCGCACACACGTCCAGCATGATGTTCAAGCTGCCCAGGTCCAGAATTCGAGCCATGGTCAACCACGTGGGGTCCAGCACCCCAACCACCACACCACCTGCTGGCCCCACACTACAGACTTTCAAGGGAGCACCATTATTGAAATCTTCGGTCAGACTACCTATCCTTTCTAAAGCAAGGGTGACTGTCATTAAACTAGGACACTTTGGAGACTATAAGGGAGTGCTATTACACGTATGCTGGGACAGATGGCATAAACCAAGACCCTTTTAGACAGCAGGCAGAAAGTACGGTCACTTACCTCAGGTAGAGCACCGGCTGGTGGCGCTCCCGAGCCTGAACTGCCCGGGCTGGGCATCCTGGAACCTTGGTGTGCTCTCACCCTGTAGCTTCCCAGAGTTTTTAAGCGCCTACAACCTTGGTTTCCCAACATCTTTTCCAAATAAGCTTTCCATCTTTATTTTTGTACAAAAACAGAAAAACAGCAAAGTCACCACCAACCACATGACAACTCACCAACCAAGGTCTTCACTCCCTTCTCCACGTCCCATGTGCCGGATGTCCCCAAAGGGCATGTTACAGATAAGGACTTGGGAAAGGGAGGTGACCTGGAGGGGCTTTTCATCACTGAGAAGCCACTTAAAACTGACTCGCTTTAAATAACCAGTCTTTCTCGAGTGCAGGGAAGGAAGACAATGCTGTCAGAAATCAGAACCCTCTTCCCACAAGCATCTCCCAACAGGTGGCACGAGGGCTTGTGGGCGGCTGGGCTGGAATCAGAACGGTTGTGTGAGCTTGCTTCGCTCTCCTGGGACAGACTATGAGATATACGTGTTGCTCATTAGGCCTATGCTATGGCAGGTCAGGGGCTGTGGGCCTAGAGTCTTCTGTTAGTGTGTTTAGTGCTGGTGAGAAGTTCTCTAAAGACAAGGTGGAGCTGGTGAGAGCCCATATCCCCCGTCACCTTCCACTGAATAAGGGGGATGGAGAGGAGGCCTCAGCTGGGGGCCTCTTGCCAGCCCAGGTGGGAGCCGACGTAGGCCATATGCTTAGGAGTATTGTGGGAGCTTGCATCCGAGGAGCAAAGAGGAGCACGCACAGTCCCTGCCGGCCGACCCCACGCAGGACTCTGGCCCTGGGCTTGCAGGGCCACCCTGCAGTCCAACCCAGTGGCAGCTTCGGCCCCAGTGGGCCATGGCACTAGTGGCTTAGGCATAGCCGCCTGCCATCTGACTGGTGGCCGCGTTGCTGCCGATTCCCCGCCAGGCCTGGAAGCTGAAGAAAGCACTCACTCCGTAGGCGATCATCACCAGACAGGCAAAGAACTGAAAGAGAAGGGAAGGGTGCCAAGGCTGAGCAGGGCAGTGAAGAACCCAGTCACCTCAGGGTTTCCTTGGGCAGGCCTGGCCAGTGCACCTGGAGTAACAGCCCTCGGTGACCCAGCCACGCCACCTCACGCTGAGCCAGACTCGGCCCCAGATCCCGGGGATGCCAGCATCGCATCCTAAGTGGGAAGCTGTTGACACCACGGGCAGGCGGCACACTGCGATCAGAGCAGAGTGCTCAGAGCCACTGAGGGCCCAGGGCTGCACTAGACGCCGGGCGGGGATGCCGTAGAGCTCTGGCCAGTTAGCGCGTCTACACTAACTTCTGTGACCCCCTTCTGAAGCTCCTTGTCTCTGTCCCCGTGACGGCTTAACTGATTCCAAAACTGCCCTGACCAGGAAGACTAGGGAAACCTACGTGCTGGTCTACACCCTGCCCTACCCAGGGCTTAGCCATGACCCCAGGCATGTTACTTAACCTCTCTGAGCAGTTTCCTCACCTATCTAAAGGGACTGCGAGTCCTTTCCTCTCTCCCGAGGGGGAGTGGGTTAACGGGATCCCAGAGGACATGGCATGCAGGCTTGGGGTGCAGAGCCCTGGTGGTGTAGACGGAGGGGACTGTGGTTACATTGCTGGCCCCTGGACATGAGCCCCTCGTCCCAGGCTCCATGGAGGACCTCTGACTCTCCCCAGTTGTCTAAGCCAAAAGGTTTTGGTATGTCTGCTTTTCGGGGGGTGGGCCACCCATAGTTTTTAATGCATTCCCTGAGGAGGCACGTGACCCCCACTCAGTGTGGCACGGATAGTGTACAGCACATTCAGTGGTAACCCAGAGCGGCTCCTGGCCACACGACTCCCTGAGCACTTGGCGTCCTGGTCTGTCTATTGGGGAAGCCTGGAAGCAGCCTGGCTCCCAAGGCCCCTGTGGGTGGGGCTAGGAGCCACTGGACTGTAGGTGCCCGGCCCCAGACCAGGAGCAGTGAGCGGGGGCAGCCCAGGAAGCGCACTCACAGAGGCTGCTGCACGCTGGTTATACGGCCGGGTGCCCTTCAGGGACGTCAGCTCGACCGCCGCGGAGCAAGAGATGAAGGCCGTGACGTACAGGACGGTGGCGCTGATGTTGAAGATCATAAACTGGGGAGGGGAGGGAGAAAGGCTTAAGACATGAAGAGACCCCGTTCCAGGAACCCTGGACCCTCCTGGGTTAAAATTAGATTCCCCGTGAAAACTGGAGGATCGGGTGTGAAACTCCATGTGACAAATGTCAGGATGTCAGAACGCAGTACCCCAGGCTCTCGGTGTCCACTAGCACTGTATGTGGCATGTAAGAGGTACTCCCTCTGGACAGATGGGTGCTGGGCTTCCCAGAGCCTCCTCACCTGGTTCATGCACAGTGAGGGGGGTGGGGGGTGTGTAGCCCCCATCCCAGAACTCCCCGATTGGCAATCCTAATCCATCCAGCTCCCCCTGCCCCATGGTGAAAGGGCTTAACACCTGTGGCGGAGCCCCAAGTCTGTGCCAACAAGACCCAGGCCTCCATGTCTTCCTTCGAGGCTCCCAGGGATAGGGCTGCGGCCTGAGCCCAGAAGTCAGGCCACCACCACCTCCTGGCCCCGGGAGCCTCCGTGCAGCCCAGAGACCAGGGCACACAGCCTGGCCCCTGCCACCTGCCTGTGATGTCAAGATCTAACAGACCCGTTCTGTCTTGAGGATGACTCACGTTTCCTCGGTTTAGAAAGTCATTGAAATGCGAACAATGCTGCCTAGTCCCAGCCTGCTTGTCTTAGTGTCACGTGGCTCCGAAAGCCGTGGACCCCAGCTGCAGGGGTGTTCCAGGTCAGAAGGCCCCAGCAGCTTGCTTTGCATCAGGCCGATCCTTATCCTAGTGTCCGCACTCGCCCCATGTCCTGAGGAAACTGGCCTGGGGCCAGCCTGGACGCCCGTCCTCTCCTGGCTGCAGGGCCTGTACCCCCCAAGCCTGAGCTCGGGTGCCTGAGCCTCCACACACCAGGCCTGGCAGCCCAGGGAATCCTGACAGTAGGTGCCAGCCACGGAGTTGCCCACGCGGGCCTGGCCAGGTCTGACGCACCCAACGCAACACTGGCTCGCAGTGACCACCCCTAAAAAGGAAGGATCTTCTCAAGACTCCAGATGGCCTCTTGTGAGTCCATTTGACAGCCCCGTCACATCTGCTCCCTTTCCGGGACAATGACAAGCCTGTGTCCTTGGCTCATGGTTCAGAAAAGCCAGACACCTGAACTGTCAGTCCCTCCACCCTCAGCCCTGCTCGGCAGGCCAGCAGAGGGTCAGTGAGGAGACACCACCCTCCCACTGCCACTTCTCATTTAGGGAAGGTCACAGCAGTCCTGTCACAGATACTCCCAGAGCTGACAGCTTGCAGCCACCCCCGGTCCCCACCAAGACTCACCACCAGTGGCCAGGGTACCATGTACAACTTCATGTGCAGCTGGAACAGGTAGAGGATGAAGAAGACGATTGTCACCAGCCAGAGGAAGACAGCAACGAACATCACCCAGCCGTAGGCCGGGTACAGGTGGTACGGAGTGTCCGCAATCAGGGCCCACACCAGCAGCCCCAGCACCTGGGGGAGACAGGGTCAGGACCTCTCAGAGCGCAGGCCCCCTGGCCTCGGCCTCACTTCTACCGGTTAGGAAACGGTCTGGCCCTGCTGTCCACTGCGCGGGGCCCATGCTGGTAACCCCTCCTTTTCCAGGTCTCAGCCCGCCTCCTAGTGCTCTGGACCCCTTCCCACCCCTCCAGTCTGGGCTCCAGACCCCTCTCTGGCTCCTGCAATCCCTCAGGCTCCCACCATGCAGATTGTGAGCTCCCTGAGGGCAGGCCTGGGGCTGTCACTCCCCTGCTTCCCCACACCCAGTATAGGACCTGACCCAGGTCCACTGAAAGATCAAGTTGCGGCCTGTCCCTGGGGGATAGTCATAGTCACACAGACCCAGAGGTGAGGAAAAAACAGCCCACGTGTCCTCCCCCAGCTGGGCCCAGCAGAGACACAAGGGCCTCCCGGGGACTTCTGCCTGATGCCCCACCAAGCCCTCCCCTCAACCTTCCCCAGCTCTCCCAACTGCCCTTTCAAACAGGTGAAACTGGGCCTCAAGAAGCTAGGGAACCTGTCTATCGTTCTGTCCCCATGTGGCAGGGTAGCCCCCCACATCCCAGAAGACTGTAACAACAGCACAGGCTTTGGAACCAACTGCCAGTGTAGACCCCTCTCAGGGGCTGGCTCCATGGCGCAGCCAGAAAGCACTGCTCAAAAAAGCTGGGTCCCACGTGGTGCTGCGGTCCGAATCCTGCAGCCGGTCAGCCCGAGACAGGCCTCAAGCCCCTGCCAGCTGGAGGGGACTGGGCGAAGGGGATCTGGACCCAAATCCGCATTCTCTCCATGTGCACATGCTCTATCATGAATAATACTTTAAAAACCCACTGTTGGGCCAGCCAGGCGGTGTGGAGGCTAAGCCAGCTGCACCCCACATAGCTGACTGTGTGCTTGGGTCGTTGGCCCAGCAGCCTGAAAAGCACATCAGGCTCGTGTGAATGCATGCCCAGAATCCTGAGAGGAGCATGGAGAAGGGCTGCAGCTTGGCTTCCCCCAAGGCGCTGATTTTCTCACTTTCCCTCTCTGTCTCAGTCTCTCCCCAGCAAGTGTACGTGCCCTACAGAAAATGTTAAAGAAAAACCCACTTTTTTTTTTTTTTAGAAGTTTTTGCTATAGGGCATGTGCGCTTGCCAGACAGAGAGAGACAGAGATAGAAAGCGAGAAATCACCCCCCAGGGGGGATGGCCACGCCGCAATCCCTTCTCCTCCATTCTCCTCTCAGGATCTTGGGCATGCACGCACACACGCCCTGCGTGAGTTTAAGCCACCGGGTCTGGGACGCCAACCACAGTCGACTACGTGGGAATCTGGCGACATAACCATTACGCTAACTGCTGGTCCCAAGAAAAGCCCACTCTTCTTACCAGCTGTGGCACCTTGAGCCAGCTGTCACCCGTCTATGCTTTGGTCACCTCTCTTATAAAATGAGTCTAACGGGGCCAGCAGGTGGCGTACTGGTAATGGTGCTAGACTCGCACATGGCTGACTGAGATTCGAGTCCCGGATGTGGCAGCTTTCTTTCTTACTTTCCCTTTCTCTCTGTCTCTCTCTCTGGTGAGCACACATGCCCTATAGCAAGTTTTTACAAATAGTAATAAAATAATTCCTAAAAAAAGAGTCTAACATCCCTGCCTCATAAAGCTGCTTTCAACACGCCGAGTCCGTGTCCATATGGGAAGTGTTTGCTTTTATTCCAGAAGAGGCTCAGTCCCTGTGGGATGGCATAAGTCCTAGCTCTCACACGGGGAATCCCACATGGACAGCTTGCTGGCTCACCTACGGGGGCGACCCTGGGAACTTGGCAGGGTGCTGTGGCCCAGCAAGAACCTGCTCTGAGGAGGGAGCCAGGGCAGGCCCATG